ACCTTCTCCAGCCCCACCCCACCCCCGACCTCACTCCAGTAGAGTCACGCCTCTGAGCCGCCCCCTCTACGCCGCACTGATTTTGCGCTTTGTCACCGCCCTGTGCATTCCCTCCTGTTTCCTTTCTGTCTCCACTACACCAGCCTATTTCTTCCTGAACCTTCCTCCTAGGTTCTGCTGAGAACTCGCTTCCCAGAACTCCGCAAGAAGTAACCACCTCAAAAAGTGCTCGGTCTCCTGGGGGCCACGGTGCAGGATGGGATGCCTCAGTTCCCTTGACTGTACACTGGGGGAGGGGGCTGGGGTACTGTTCCCTGTCTTCTTCGCTCCTGTGCTGAGGCCGTATGTAGAGGCCAGAGGTGGATGAGGTCAGCTGACATGTGATTCTGATGAAGGACAAAGTACAGCTGGACATCCACCCCTGACCTAAGAGCGGAGGATCCGGATCAGCAGCCGCCAGAGGCCTTCTGACCTCACCCTGTGGTACTTACCCAGGAGGGCAGCAAGTGGCCATGAACCGCTGCTCTCGGCCAGCTCTACCTCCAGTGTCAGCTCCTGTCCCGACTTTTCACCCCATCCAGAGTGTCTTCTCCCAAGTCTTCTATTGTTTTCTCCTCTCCTTTGGGTCCCAGTATCCTCAAATACATTTCCTCAAAACCCCACCTTGCCTGGTCTCCTCTTCTATTTCTCTACGCAACACCCTTACCACCTCCCAACATCACATTGCATAGCTGCAGAAGGGTTCAAGGCCTCACCAGGAACCAAAGCACCCAGCACCATCATTACTTTGGACTTGGCAGGCATCAGAATGGTGAGAAAGCAAACACCTGTTGTTTAAGCCATGGTATTTTGCCACGGCGATGCTGTGTGTTCTGCAAGCTTGTCTTCTGCCAGCTGTATTCCCAGTGTCCAAAAATTCTGGCTACATGATGGAGAATGGAGGAGAGAGGTCGGCCAAGGAAGATTGCATTGGGAGGTATGGCACCATGAGGTGTGGAAATCACTCCAGAGCAGGAAATGGGCAGCATTGATCCACTGTTTAATCCTTATCTAGAGATTTGTGCTACTGTCCCCTGACACCCTCAGGACAGGGCCTGACTCTGACTCCTTCCATGGTCCCAGAGTCACACACAGGAGCGACTCTGTAAAAAGGTGTGCATCGAGAAAATTAATGGCCTTTGACCCCCATCTGCTAATGAGGACACAGCATTAAGGTTGAAGTGACTGATTGTGAATCTGGAGAGCTGAGGTTTGGCTGTTGAGCCTGAGGGGAAGGGTATGGCCACCAGACAGTGTGTGTGAGCTCTCAAAACCTGGCAGCAATCTGCTTCTTTCTTCCAGGGAAGTCACACCACTGCCTACACATCCCCACTGCCAGGCCAGGCTCTTGCCTGAAATCCTTGCTGCTCTAACACCATAATCACCTTCAGGGCTCACATCCCCCGGGGAAGCCTTCTGAAGAGTTTGGTCAAAGCACTGTGTCTTTAGCCACTACGCAATCCCTTGCCCACGACCCCGCACACCTGCCTCCAAAGGACCAACATCAAATCAATTCATTCCAATTTCTCTGGCATCCATTCCAGGACAGGTGCCAGAATGTATTTGTTGAATACATTTGTTGAATACAGGACCGTTACTTGGGTTTTCTCATCAGAAATACTCATTGTCCACATGGGGACTCCTCCAAGTGGTAGGTATAAGATGTCTTGCACTGGACAAGCGTGCCACACTTTCCTGGCTTTTCTTAATATGGTCTAAGTGATCAGCACCCAGATCAAGAAACAGTTGAAAAGCAAGTTGAATATGAGTGTGGTTAGTTCATGTCTTTCAAGTGGGGAGCAAGCTGGCTAGATGGTGCATACCTGTCATCCATGCACTCAAGATAAGAGGGTTGTGGGCTGTCTGAGTTCAGTATTCCGGACCCACATGATAGATGGAGAGAAGCAGCTCTGACTAGTTTTCTTCTGACCTCCACATGTGTGTTGTGGTGTGTATGCCCACATGCATGAACATATATATGCAAAAAGATTGGCTGGACTGTCAGCCTGGGCCAATAAGACTTAAAAAAAAACTGTCAGAAAGACTTGATAATGATAAATGCCTTGTTAGTCCTATGGGGCTCTGCTGGACTCCTAACCCTCTATAGAACCATAAGATAATAAATGTGTCTTCTTAGTTGTGTTTAATATTAATTCTTTGTAGCAGAAAAAAACATAAGATATAAATAACCTGAATTCTTCTTTGTCTGGCCAGTCTGTTGCCTTTCTATAGTTCTACTCTTCCAGAACACACCAAAGGGAACCCAATGGCTCCCAACTGCAGCACCTCATTCCATGAAGTTCCTCGGGCCCTGGAACAGTGAAGCCAAGTTTAGTGCAACTGGAAACCAACCATGAGTCACTCTTTAATGGGTCAGTGGCTTGATTTTTCATGTTCCTACATGCCTAGTATGCTGAGGTGGTGTCTGTGGGTCCATTTTTAGCTTTACCTGTTTGGGGATAATCTTACTCTAAGAGCTAGTCAGGACGAATGCCTGTGGACTCCTTTGTGGCCGGAGGCCTAGAGACCTGCTAAAGAAGATGCTGGTTCATGAGATTCCCATGCTGCTGGGGATAATCTTACTCTAAGAGCTAGTCAGGACGAATGCCTGTGGACTCCGGTCGGAGGCCTAGAGACATGCTAAAGAAGATGCTGGTTCATGAGATTCCCATGCTGCTAGCTCTCTCCATCAGCCCTGTCTACTGCCTGTACAGTGCAGTAAGAGACTGGATAGTCCCCATTGCCCCTAACCTTACTGTTCTGTTGGTCTATGATTGGGTCTCCAATGGAGAAAAAAATGGCAATCAGTCAATGCTCAGGGTAGGCAGATTATAACAGGCCACCAAGGAACATGTTCAAGGGTTCTTTTGTCCTCCCCTGAAAATCTGCTAAAGGCAACAGCTTGCTGGGTGGTGGTAGTGCACACTTGCAGCTTCCTGGCCTGATGTTCTTATGGCCCAGGGTTCCCCCACTTGCTCAGAACTTGTTCTTTAGCTTTGAACCTGATCCCCCTGCCTTCGTCTCCTGGTGCTGAGATCACAGGTCTACACTACCACACAGGGCTCCCCAGCCTCTTTTTCATCTGGGAAGTTAAATGCAGCCATCCCCAGGTCTACACTGAAAGGGCCCCTGTTGTGGAATACTTTAACTAGCAAATATGTGTTACATTTGTTTATGCTGCAGAATATTACTTTAACTGTGTGCTACTTTTTTATGCTTCATTTGTTTAAAAATGTAAGGATGTGTGTTTAATTATGTAAAGATGTGTTGCATCAATTTCACCTTGCCTGCCTAAGGCAACTGATTAGTCTGATAAAAAGCTGAACAGCCAATATGTAAGCAGAGAAAGGATAGGTGGGGCTAGCAGGCAGAGGAAATAAATAGGGGAAGAAATCCAGGCTCGGAAAGAAAGGAAGGAGCAAGAGAGAAGGAAGAGAGACACCACCATAGAGAAGCAGTGAAAGACAGATCTACAGAAGAAAGGTAATAAGCCCCCGCAGGGCAAATGGTAGATAAAGAGAAAGAGGTTAATATAAGTTAAAAGAGCTAACCAGAAGCATGCCTAAGGTAGGCCAATCATTCAAAACTGGTAACAAGTCTCTGTGTCATGATTGGTTGGTGGCCCAAAAGATAAACCTGATACAGGCTCCTCCCTTTGTCACCCTGCTGCAAGTGAAACGGCCAACTGTTAAGTTTCTCCCTTCTCTCTTCTGCCATTTCTAATGTCATGAAATAAAGACATTTTGTGTATGTGGTGTTTGTATGTATGTGTGTGCATTCTTGCTTGTGTGTGTTCATGTGTGTATGTATGACTATGTAGTGGGGCAGAGGTTGATTCCAGGTATTACTCTGCATCTTATTTTTTAAAAAAGATAGGTGAACCTAGAGCTCATCAATTATGATAAACCAGCTGGCTGGCCAGCAAGCCCTGGTGACAACTGCTCAATGATAGAGTTGAAAACATGTGCCACTGAGTCCAGCTTTAAAAAATAAGGATTATTATTCTATGTGTATATCTTGTTTGCATGTATGTTTGTGCACTGCATGTGCCAGAAGAAGGTGTTGGATCTCCTAGAACTGAAGTTACAGTTATGAGCTGCCATGTGGGGCTGGGAATTGGACCTGGGGCCTCTGGAAGAACAACCAGTGCTCTTAACCGCTGAGCCATCTCTCCAGCCCCCAAGTTCAGCCTTTTATGTGTGTGCTGGGGATCTGAACTCAGGTCCTCATGCTTGTATGACAAGCATTTTGCTGAACCATCTCCCCAGCCTCCGAAGAATGTTGTCTTCAGTGTTATCAAGAATTCTCTCATTAGCACTCTATTTTTCTTTTAATAGCTCCCACTGAAACTGCCCTGGAAGGGACAACCTTACAATTATAATTAGATGCTGATGCCTTGGTGAGAAGGAAGGAGTCACAGATTTTGAAAGCAACACCTTATAGAATTGAGATCGGGGAGATTTGGAATAATATTATTTTTGTGCTAAGAATTTGAACCCAGGGTCTAAACATGCTGCCAAGTGCTCTCTCACTGGGGTATATATCCTCAGCCATTTTGGATGATTTTATTTTGAAATAGGATCTTGCTAAGTATCCTAAATAGACTTGAACTCGGAATGTTCTTACTTACTCTAGGATTACAGACACATTAATAAAACCTTTAACAAATAATGCTTTTCCTCCAGAATCCCTGTATTGTCTTATTTTGTTTTTATTTTGTTGAGACAGAGGGTCTCTGTGTATCCCTGACTGTTCTGGAACTCACTATGTGGACCAGGCTGGCCTCAAACTCACAGAGATCTACCTGCCTCTGCCTCCCCAGTGCTGGGGTTAAAGATGTGTACCACCACCATCCCTGGCTAGAGAGACTTTTATGAAGGCCAAACCTGAATCCTTTCCTATTCTGCAGCTGGGACCAGATGCCCTGGAGCCCCCTGCCTCTCTGTCCTGTTACATTGGCATCTGCACTTGCTGCCCTCTTTCCAGCCATGAACTTATAGTGTAATTTCTTCTGTCTGGAAAGTTCCTTCCCATCAAGTTCAAGCATCATTTTTCCAAGGAAGTATTGAGAATCGGTGACCCAGTTCCAGGTCTGGTTTTCCCTGATCCCTAAGAGCCAGTTCCTACCCAGAACCTCTGTGTCCTTCCAGGCCACTTCATCACTATTTGGAGGAAGAAGTGAACTAGAGGAAGAGGGACTGTTTTGAGGGATAGGAAAGGGGGCAAGGGAATGTAATTCTTGAGTGTGATGCTAGACCCTTGAGGAGGAACACAGCTGTTTGCCCTCAGGAGCTGACACACAGAAGGCCTATAAATGCATGTTGAATCAGTGAAGAAAGTAAGTGAATATAGGTAGGATTGTAGAGGGCTCGGAGGTCCTTATGCTCACAAATAAACACTAGGGAATCCAGGAACGTTAAATATGCAGACTGTCTCTTCAATGGAAGGGATGTATACCTGTTTTCCACCCAGAAGGCTGGGAATGGATGTTAATAACCTGATTATCTGTACTATCTGTAGCACCCACCACATCAGAATCATCCCGGACCACTCCTCCCTAGACCTTTATCCTGAGCATTGCTTCTCAGTCAATAGAACCCATCCCTAGTGGAGATGTCACAGTACTTTGTAGCTTGGTGACTGTGGTGTTTAGAAAGAAAAAGGCCCCCAAAGGGAGTGGCACTAATGGTGTGACCTTATTGGAGTGGGTGTGATCTTGTTGGAGGATGTGTGTCACTGTGGAGTTGGGCTTTGAGGGCTCATATATGCCAGGCCTTGTGATGCAGTATACTTCCTGTTGCTTCCATATCAACATATAGCAGCTACCTCTTCAGTACCACATCTGCCTGCATGCCATGTCCTGCCATGATGATAATGGACTGAACTGTAAACCAGCCGCCACAATTAAATGTTTTTCTCTCCACAGCAATAGAAACCCTGAGTGACCTCTTGATGACCTACACCACATCAGATCCTCTGCTGGACCCTTAAGCTGTAGAACCTATCCTGTGGAAGAGGTCACACATACTTTGCAAAGGACTTGATGTAGCCACACCTTAAGCTTTATTGAGATAATTGTTACCGGGAAACTTTCCCCCCAGATTGTCCTATCCTTAAACATGCTTGCAATAAATAGCTCAGGGTCAGACTTTAGAAATTTAAAACAACTCCAGCTGACTACATTGTGTTAAACTGGATTTCCTTCTTGCCTAATGTAAATTGTTACTCAGCTGGCTGTGGTGTTTACAGAGACCCCACACACACTGGATGAGGCCAGAGCCATTGTCCCAAGATTGTGAAAATCCCTGCTACCTGTCAGGGTTGCTGCTAATGGTCAGTGACAGTCAAGGTGGCCACTGAAGGCACAGGTCAGCAGTGATACGTTGTTCTAATGGGTGTGGGAGGCATGTCCACGGCCCCTCTCCAGGACACCTGGCTCCCTGGCTACTGTGGACCACAGCTGTACCTAGCAGAACAGAAGCTAAAGGCACTTTCTGTTTAAGAAGCTAAAGTAGGCTTTAGCTAAAGGAGATCTTGGCCTCCTCAAAGTTCTCTTAGGAGCCAGCAAGTCACAGGTAGAGGGGCCAGGACCATGAGGCCGTGGTCAGGGGCAGAGGAGGAAGGCAAATGTAGATCAAAACAACAACAAAAAGCAGGGACTTGGGTTCAAGTCTTACCCAAGCTCATCATGTGCAGTGACTGCCAGCCCCTTTCCAGGCCACAGACCTCAGTTTCCCCATGAGTAGAGAAGGAAGTGCACAATATCAGAGTGCCTCTTCCTTCTAGATTCTGACTGCTGGGAGGAACAGGGAAGTGTCATCCCCTGTTCTGCTGACACCACCCCCTCCTTTGCAAAATGGGATGGATCTGGCAGCTCATTGGGCCCTATGTGGGTTCCATGGGAGGATGTCTGAGATGCAGCCCCTGCACACCTAGAGTCTGTGTGGTCTCTGTATTCGGAGAAATAATGGTTTCAATGTGTCCTCCTTCACTGCTGCCTGTCTCCCCCTGGCAGGTTCTTGAGGGCTGGATGCTGGTGACCCTAGGGGAGTTGCCCCCAACCCACCTCTGCTACTGCAGACCAGGGGACTTCACATCTCTATGCTTATGCTAAGAACAAGTGCATATGAAGGCCAGAGGGCCAGGTGCTGAGTGAGGCAGGCAAGTGGACAGAGCTCTGTGTAATTGAAGAAGGTGGCCCTCCACAGCTTCCAGTTATGCTGGTGGTCTTGGCATGCCTCAAGAACAGCCGGGACACCGCGCTCTAGCCAGCACTAGACTTTTCCAAGGCCTGGCCAGACTGGATCCATCTGCCAAGCTCACACCAGGCTTGGGCAGCAGAGATGGGACCTGATTTCACAAGTTGGATTCTGCCCATGTCAATGACTCACCCACTGTTTCAAGGAGGAACCTGAGGCTAATTAAACTCAAGGTTTGAACCCAGCCCTCTTCCTCTTCCCCACAAATGCAGTCAAACCTGAAGGGCCCTGAGCCCATGAAGAGGAAGGCTGACAGCCTCGTGGGGGAGGGAGCCCTGCCTTTCCTGGGATCCCATAAGGAGGCTAACCAATGTGAACCTCCCTTCTCAACTCTGCCTTCAACACCAAGAACTTGTGCAGGACTCTGAATACTGTCCATCTTCAGTTCTGCTACACCTAGTCACAAAAAAATCATCACAACTGGGCTTG